TAGGCAGTGACAATGACTTGATTTGCTTAAGGACTATGATATTACTATCTTGTATCATCTGTGTTAGGCGAATATGGTATTATGTATATTGAGTAAAACGACAAAAAATATTGGGAGTTTGTCATTTATTCCGGCCAATGAGATGCCTTAGAATATATATGTTTAGGCCTTTGCTAACAGATTTTTGAATGTGAGATATTTCTGAGCCTAGTAGAATTCTTGCTTATGTTGTTGCACAATTGTCCTTGTATGAGCGCATTAAGGCTCGCTGGTATGATAATCCACATTTATTGGTTCTTAAGGACACAGTGCATCAAAATGGTACCAAAAAGATGGTTATTGGAGATTATGGTGTTTTGCGGCTTCAGGGTCATATTTGTATTTTTAATGTTAATGGTTTGAGAGAGTTGATCCTTGAAGAGGCCCACAATTCGAGGTATTCTATCCATCCATGAGTCACAAAGATGTATCGATATTTGAAGTAACATTATTAGTGGTGGAGGATGAAGAGGGATAATGTTGGACATGTCTCGCAGTGTTTGAATTGTCAACAGGTCAAGTATGAATATAAAAAATCAGGCGGTTTGCTTCAGAAGATAGATATATCAGAGTGGAAATGGGAGCGTATCACTATGGATTTTACGGTAAAATCACCATAGATTTTGATGGAGTATGATGTTATTTGGTCTATTAAGGATAGATTGACCAAGTATACAAATTTCATTATGGTGATGTCTTCTTGCACTTAAAAGAAGTTGGCTCATATCTATATCAGAGAGATTGTTCGCTTGTACGGTGTACCTATTTCTATCATTTCAGACCAGGTGCTCAATTCACTTCACACTTTTGGAGAGCCGTTCAACATGAGTTGGGTACACATATGGAAGTTAGCAGAGCTTTTCACCCACAAATGGATGGTCATTCCTAGCGGACTATTCATATTCTTGAGAATATTTTGAGAGCTTGTGTTATTGATTTCGGAGGCCATTGGATTTAGTTTCTACCATTGATGGAGTTTGCTTACCTCTATGGTAGGTAGTATTGATATCCTATTGGTTGGTTTGAGCCTGTGAAACTAGGTTGTTGGGTACTGATATCATCCGTGATGCTTTGGAGAAGGTGAATTTGATTCAGGAGCAACATCGTATAAGTCAATCTAGGCAAAAGAGTTATGTGGATCAGAAAGTTTGTGATCTGGAATATATGGAGGGTGAGAAGGCACTTCTGAAGATTTTACACATTAAGGGCATACTGAGATTTGAGAAGAAGGGCAAGCTGAGTTCGAGGTTTATTAGCCCATTTTATGGTTTAGAGAGAGTTGGAGAAGTTTCTTATAGACTTGCTTTTCCTCTAGTCTTTCAGGAGGCATCTAGCTTTTCATGTTACTATGCTCCGAAAGTATCATGAATACAAGTCGCATGTTTTGTCTTTTAGCACAGTGTAGTTAGATGACAATCTGGCTTATAAAGAAAATCTATTGGCCATTTTAGATAGGCGAGTCTGAAAGCTTAGGTCAAAGGAGATCGCCCTTTGGAGAGATAAACAGAGCGATGAGGCTACTTGGAAGACTAAGTATGATATGCAGAGTTGATACTCACATCTTTTTGATACCTCAAGTATATTCCTAAGGCCGTTCGAGGACAAACATGTTTAAGTGTTGGAGAATGTAACGACCCGATGAGGTATTTTGAGTATTAGAATCCCAATCCTTTAATTGATGTTTTCCGTATGGGTATTTTATATTTTATTAATTCATGGGAGGGTCGGCTTGGTTTCGTAAAGGTTTGGAACTGAATTGGAACACTTATTTCTATTTTGAAATATTTAAGCTGTAAGAGTTGACCAAGGTTTGACTTTTGAGTAAATGACCTCGGATTTGTGATTTAAAGGTTCCAATAGGGTTGTATGATAATTTTGGACTTAATCATGTGTTCAGATTTTTTTGGATGTTTCTAGAGGATTTTGACTCAATTTGCCAAAAGTTGGCAATTTGATGAAAGAGAGTTCATACGTTTGACCAATAATTGACGTTGATATTATCAGACTCCGATTGTTTTTTCGGGACTGAGGATAGGTTGATGTTGTTGAATGAAACTTGTGCAAAGTTTGGTGGAGATCCGATATGTCTAGGTATGAATAAGACATTTGGTTAGAAGGATAGAAGTTTATGAGTTCAAGAAAGTTCTACGTGATATTTGGCCTTCGATTCTTTAATGTAATGTTTTTATGTGTTTTAACACTTTGGATAGGCTCGGGTAGTGTTTATAGACTTTTTTGAATAACTGAATAGGGCCCTAAAGGGCTAGGGTGAATTTCGAACCAGCCGGAGCATGTTGGGATGTTGCAGATTTTGCTGGTGTCTAGGGTATTCATCACGATTATGTAGTGTAATTTGGGGCCAGGGTAAGTACGCATCACAATTGCGCATGGCAAGTCGCAATCATGTATGAGAGTCTTGTAGGGGTCACGTTCATGAGAAATGGTATGCGATCACGTAGAGAAAGTCTAAGAGGCCAGAAGATTGTACTTCGTGAACACGTAGGGTGGTTTGTGATCACGTAGGTTGGGCTGGCAGAGCTTCGCGATCAAGTGGTGTTGTCACGAACATGAAGGGTGTTGTTAAAGTGGTATTTGCCAGTTCATCGCAATCTCATGGACTAAGGCTGCAATCGTAAAGGGTAGTTCTAGCAGGGGCATTTTAAGTTGGAATTTTGGAATTTCGCCCTTTTTTTATTTTTTTTTTATTTTTGAGTTTTGGAGAATGAGAGGAGGAAATTTTGAAGAGGTATTTCACTAGTATCTTGGAGGTAAGTAATTTACACTTTGATTTGATCATATAGCTTGATTCCCCATGAATTTCTATACTTAGAGCATAGAATTTAAAAATAAAATTTAGGATTTTTATCTACAACTTAAGAAAGGGTACTTTGAGGTTTTGAGTGCTGTTTTGGACCCGGATTTGAAATCTAATAATATATTTAGACTCACGGGATTATAGGTTAAAGGGATCTAGTTATAGACTCAGGTATTGACTATGTGGGCCCAAATTGACTTTTGTTGATTTTTTGAAAAATAATTAAAGATTGAAGCTTTATTTCTTGCATTTGAATTTTATGACTTAATTACGTATTATTTTCCATATTTTAGGCTGTTTGAGGAGGATTCTATAGGAAAGACGGTATTGGAGTGTTGAGCTTATTCTGGAAAAAGATAAGTATCTTGGTTAATCTTGGCTTGAGGGAATTAGGTTGCAACTGGCTTGCTTGCTATGTGCTAATCGTGTTGGGGTGCGACGTATATACATGTTGATAAATGTATACACGTTTTCCAGGGTAGTAGCATGCTCGGGTAGAACTAGTCTAATTCAAGCCTTGCTGTTTCATGTATTATTGTCTTATGCTATGATGGATTGTGAAATTACTTGGTTATTCACATGTTGAGGATCATTTATAAAACTTGTTGTGAGATATGAGCGAGATGTATCTTGAAATGTGATTTGCCTATTGAACCTTTATTCTGCTTAACCTTTTCATGGAACACTATGTTTATTCACCTCCTGAATTCACGCACTTTAAAAGTTTTAGGTTAATACACATATTTAGTAAGCATGAGAATTACTATTTCTCGAATATTACCATATGGATTGGTATGTTGGATCGGTTTGCCTACTGAAACATTGTTATAATTAGACCGGTTTGTGAACCGCAACAATATTATAACTAGACCAGAGTACATGTTGTAATGGTATGACCATTGGATTGGGTTGTATGGCGCAACAGTATTGAGATTAGATTAGGTTGCATGATGCAACGGGTGTGATATCTCGTGCTTATTTATTGTATATTGTTTATTCTTGGCAGAATTGGTTCACAAGGTTATGCTTATGAAGTTATTTTGCAACAGTTGCTTGCTTGTTCTTCCATTTGCACCTCATATTGTTAGTGCTATCTCTACTATTTTTTTTTACTTATTTCTTGTACAGGTTTATAAAGTGAGTGTATTGTCATAGCCTCATTCCCCCTTGTCGAGGTCATGCTCAATACTTACTGAGTATGTCGGGTCGGTAGTACCCATATTATACTAATTCACTTCTTGTACAGATTCGAGTATTGGTACTAGCAGAGTTTCTAGAGGTGTTTAACTTGGATACTTAGGAGACTCGAGGTAGTACTGTATATGCATTCGCATGCGTTCCAGTCACTTTCCCGTGTCTCTATTGCGATTCACTTGTTTCAGACAATATTATAATTAATTTAGACTTTGTATTTAGTACTCTTTAGAGCTAATGCACGCAGTGACACCAATCTTAGGAGTTGTTTAGATAGTTTTAATGTTTTTAGATTAGTATGTAATTTTGGAGCTTTTATTCATTATTTATGATATTATACTATTAGATGTTTAATTCTTCATCTGTTATTACCGTTAAGAGTTGGCTTGCCTAGTAAGTGAGGTTAGGATCCAACACGGCCCGTTGTTCGGGATTATTGATCGCGAAAACCTCAAGTCCAATTATGTGTTAGTTTCTAAATCTGAGTCCAAATCGGTGTTCAAAATTCAAAAATATACTTTTTAAATTTTCAAATCAAAACCTGCTTTTCCTCCTTTGAATCTTTGATTTTAAGACAAAGTTGATGATAGATTCATGTTAAAATAATAAATTTAAATTTATGTGAGAAATACTTAACTTATCATCTTACGTAAAAATCGCTTCGAAATATTACTTCAATCCAAGATCCCCTAGATCCAAAAATAATAAAATAATCCCAAGTATGAAACAAGGTTATATACACAAGTGCAGAGATTTTCAGTGCAGATTTTCAGAAATAATAACATTGCCCCTTTTCACTCAGATAGTCATAACTTTTTGTACAGATAACTAAATGACAAATGATTTTAATTTTTAGATATTAAAATTAAAATACAACTTTTATTTTTGGATCATCCTTAAATTTTTTATAGTTTGGGAGAAATACTATCAGGTCCTTTGGAGAATTATTCTATGCTCATAAGTATTAATCTCTGAAAGACTTCAACACATATAGATATTTCTTTGAGAGAACATCCATCAAGAGAAAGAAAAAATGGTATTTTTGCTGCAAAATTTTACTCTGACCAGCCCGCTTCAAATTATATTTTTCGATTCATTCTAAGGCCCGATAAAGGTTCGCCAAGGATTTAGGTATTTATGGTTACAATGTAAGCTAGTGTGTTTGGAGGGTTGTAGATAATTTTCATGGCGAGCTTCTGAGTCTTGGTGTGGATTTTTGGACTGTACAAGACATTCTTTTGTGCATAAAATGGCATTTTTGTGGCTTATTATACGACCGCAGATCTATTTCGTTGACTACGATATCATCACAGAATGAGTTAGAAGCAACACAATTTTGATGGACATTTCGTGGTGCATTATGCGATCGCGAATCTGACCAGATCCAACCCAGATTGTAAAGACCATTTTGTGGGTTGTTCCACTGACCACGAATTTGTTCCTTTAACCGCAGTTCCGTTGCAGATTTGACATCGAGGGGTTATTTTTTTTTAATTTCCTAATTCGACTCTATTTTGAGATAAGGCCTTGGAGGGTTATTTTAGAAGGTATAACCTAATATTTTAGAGAGAGAGGGATAAGCTCTATCATTTCCACACTTCAAATTCTTGCTCAAATTTTAGGTATTCATTAAGGAAAGTTCACAAGGTCTTCTACTAAAGAGGTAAGACTTTATCCCTAGATCGTATGCAATGTTCTATCATGAATTTATGCCTAATAATTTTTTATGACGGGGCTTATGGGATGGTGATTGAAATCCATAAGCCATTAATTTTGAAATTGGGTGTATGTGGAGAATGAAGGATGTGATTCTTGTGGGTAGGGAGTAAACGATTGGGCATGGATGTGCAAATGAATGTTGTTAGGTGTTTTAGGGATATTGCAGATTTATTGTTTGCTTGGAATTGGTTTAGGGGTGGAAGAATTTCCATTAAAGACCCTTGTAGTCGACTATGCATAGTTGGTATTTGACGAAATGCCTAAGAGACTTATATCATAAGAATCCTTTTAGTAATGGCTCAGTTGGACCATTTTAATGTAGATTCAAGTTGCTAGGAACAGTGGAACATTGTAGCCATCTTAAGGAAGCTTAATTAAGGCATGTTGGCGAAACCCCCTCCATAGAATTTGATTCCATGATCTCCTATAAACTTCAAGTATGGTTTGCCGAAGCTTAATTTTATTGCTAATGCTTATTTGAGAGTTGATTATATTTTAACTTGCATGTAAATATTATTGATCCTTCTTACTACTTCTATGTTTCTCGCTTTTTGAGTTGGTATTCCATTCCATGTGAAGGTATTTGGCCTTACATTCTAGTACTATTCAATATGCACTAACGTCCATTTTGCCGGTGAACTGGATCTTTAATGGATGCAGGTGGTACCTTAACAGGCAGCATGGACCCTTGATAGCAGCATACCCTCCACTCAGCGGAGTTGGTTAGCCCTACTCTACACCTGGGCCCATATGTTGTATTGCTTTCTTTCACATTACTTTTGAGGTATAGTCGGGGCCTTGTCACTGATACTTTCATACTACTCTTCTTCTTCATTCAGAGGCTTCGTAGTCGTGCTGTGGAATGTGTTTTGGAATGTGGAAAAATAAATAAAAAATGTTAATGCAATTGTCGGATGTTTTCACTTCAATATATAAACTTGTAATCTTTTGGTTATTATCACTGGAGCTTCTTTAAGTAATGAAAAATGATCCTCTCATTGATTTCCTCATGTCATTTATTCTCAAATTACTCACGAGCAATTTGGGTAGAAGGCGTCTGGTAGGCTTGCTTGACTGGATATGTTGGTTAAGCGTTGGTTCCGCTCCCAAATGTCGGGGTGTGACAAGTTTGGTATCAGAGCCTAAGGTTTTAAAGTGTCCTAGGATATCTAGGAGCCGTGTCTAGTAGAGTCCTTATTATCGGTGTGAAGTCGACCACACATATAATTAGGAGGCTACTTGGGCATTTAGGAATGTCACACTTCTTTGATATTTGAGATCGTGCAATAGAGCTGATTATAAGACTGTCACTTTTTGAATTGTGTGTTGTTATATTTTTTCAGTACATGGTGCCTAAGAAGAAGGCGAGTAGTGGCAAAAGGACTAATAATACCCCAAGAGTGGCAGTTGATACAATACCTAATGTTGCGAGTGAGTACCCAAGGGGTGAGGACATTCCCTAACCACACAACCTCCTAATTCTTCTACTCCTGCTGAGAATGTACAGATTCCTCCTCCTACAGATATTCCAGTTCCACCTCCAGCATCATCCTCCGGTCCTAATGTTTATGATAGGGACCTTAGAGGAGCCATCAAGTTGTATACTCAGATAGTGTCTTCTCAGGCCCAAAGATTGAATGACACGTCTACTTCCTCTAGCCACCAAGGAGATACAACTAGTTCTAGGGTGAACATATTTCTTCAGTTGAATCCTATGGTGTTTACGGGAAGTAAGCCCGAGGAGGACCCATAGGAATTTATTAATGACATACACTAGACTCTCCGTGTTATGCGTGCCATCTCACATCCCAAACTCGGGGAGCGCGTCCGGCGCTCAACCGAGTGAATTCGTCCGAGCAAGCCCGTCAGATGCTTTCTATCCAAGATATTAACCAAACAAATGACTCTTAGTAATTGTTGATTAGGTGGCTATCTAAAGTAAGTTCCATAAGGCACTTACATATGATATATCTATAGACGCTTATGCACTTTGTCGTGTGATTAAGAGGAGTTTAAATGGTCCAAAAACTGGTGACGTCCATTATGCAAGTGATAGATCCTCTAGCATTGAAATTTATTCTGAGGGAAGATGTGATCATCATGATATGGAAATTAGATCTCATGAGTATGGAATGCCATCATCATCATCATCATCCATGGCAGTCCATGGCTCTCCAATGAATGTTACAACTCCTATTCCTACTGATGATAAGTAGAATATGCAATATTTATCAAATGAAGCTTTAAGTTTCAACAACAGTCAGTTCGTTCCAAATTATGGAACTTTGCCATATCCCCCATTTAAGGTTAATATAGCATTACCGTGTGCAAGGTTGCAGCATAGGTTCACATTACCTCCATTGGAGATTCAAGGCTTCCCTCAAGTTGGTTATGCTGATACCAAGATGCCTCAATCAAGTTTTACTCAATCTACAAATCAAACGGATTTTTTCCTACTCCAGGTATGTTAAGGCTATCCCTTCTTTCTTTTGGCATGATCCATGTGACACAAACAAAACGTGCAAATGCAAAATTTTCATACATGACTCTATTCATAGAAATATTAGAGATGCTTATGTTCTTGATTCCCCATGTGTCATATTATTCTATCATCTGTTCGTGGGTCTCAAAATACGTAGGTTGGATTTAACTATTCTTCCCCTTTCATAAACGGAAATATAAAAGTGGGGATTATGTATTGGTACTTATCACACTCCACACGTTCTGGAGTGTGAATAATCTTTTGGCTGCTAAAATGCTGAGTTCATTTTCTAGTTCGTCGTTGTATCTGGAGAATATGTTCCAGACGTACAAAATCTTTCTAGCTTTTGTAATTCAGCTATATCATTCTCCTTTTCTATGGAAGTTGGAGAACCGCATCATGTATTTGGTAGTTCGAAACAAAATGGTTTAAAGGATTTTATTTCTTTTTGGATAGGTCATGTCTTTTTAATAGAATAATCCTTATATATTGAATTTTACAAGAGGGTATCTACTTACTGGAAATTTTCCACCTAAGAATACACTGAATAATTATCTGATCTATATGACACAACGAAACGAGCAAGCACGCAAGTTTTAGAAATGATTCTAATCTTAGAAGTACTAAGATTGCCTATGTTCCTAATTCCCCATATGTCCTACTACTATATTATCTATACATGGGTCTCATAACATTCCAAGAGATCATATTGACTTACTTCATTATACATTGCATTCATTTATACATGTCCATTTACCCATGACTCAGACATTACAGCATTATATACGCATCACCACCTGATCAGCTGGTATACGTTGATGATTTTGCCCACAGTGGCTGAGATGATATGATGGAATGCCCTCAGAGGCTTGATGATATTATGTACGTACAGACCTATGCGTTACATGATATATACACGAATATGCATGACCTTATAAATATTTCATGATTTAAAGAGCTATCCAGATTTACAGATTGAGTCCTTTACTCGATGTTTCTTCCATGTCCTTTATATACTGATTTACATGCCTTACATACTCAGTAAATTTTTCATACTGACATCCTTTTGTTGGGGACGTTGCATTCATACCTGCAGGTATAGACAATAAGTTCGACAAGCCCTCATAGTAGATGAGGTCAGCATTCAGCGAAGGATCGGTAAGACTCCACCTCATTCGGAGTGCAGTCGAGTCTATAAGTCATCGTGTCAGAGTTTTTCTACATACTTATGGGTAGGCCGGTACCTTATCCCATTTTATATCAAATAATCTTAGAGGCTTTGTAGACACAAGTTTATTATGTACAGTATGTCAGAGGCCTTGACGGCCCATATGTATTCATGTTTTATGAACGATGGTTCATTGATATAACATTTGCCCACTTACAATTGTACATTACGAGTTGTGTCCATGTTGGCCCGTGATAGTTATAAAAGGAATAGATGAGTTACAGAGTGATTTGCTCGGGCCACTACGATACCGGGTGCCATCCACGCCTCCCCAGGTTGGGGGCGTGACACACTCTTCACCCTATATATACGCACTCCCACACATAATTCACATAGCAAATATACCAAACAAGTCATAGTTCCCATAAGTCAAAGCTAAACATGACACTTACATCCTTTCGGAATCAAATCAACAATCAACCACAGATTTTCCCTTAAAACAAGCCTCCAAACCAACCGAGCGTAGCCAAATATTATTCAAATAATCCAAATAAAGCTTTAGAAATAACCTACGAACAAAAAAGGTTAACCCCGAGCCCACGTGGTCGAAATTCGAGATTCTGACCAAATCCCCATTACATATTCACCCTGTGCCCTGATACATGATTTGTTTTAAAATCCGACCTCAATTCGAGGTCTAAATCATAATTTTACAAAATTCCTAAATTCTACCTAAACCCCACAATTTCTACTTTGAAATTCATAGATTTGATATTAAAATTCATGGAAATGTTGTTGAAATTGATTGAAAACTAGTTAAAGTTTCATACCAATGAATTTGGGAAGAAAATCCTCTTCAAAAATCGCCTCTAAAGAGCTTAGGGCTGAAAAATTGTGTAAAATGAGCTAAGTCCCGATTTCCCCACCTTTTACCCAACTGCAAACACTTGTTCGTAATTGGGATGCTCGCAAATGCGAACAACTATCGGCAAATGCAAATAGTGACAAAATTCCTTAAAAGTCACAAATGCGACATATACCTCGCATTTGCGAAGTATCCAGCCATCAGAAATGCGGTGCAAGCTTCGCATTTGCGAAGATGTCCAAAAATCCTAGCCATCGCAAAAGCAAGGTCGCAAATGTGGACCAACTCTAGATCGCAATTGGGATTAATTATTCGCAAAAGTGAAGACCAGACCGCAACCTCACTTTATATTTGCGAGCCTGACATCACAAATACGAGCCTTGAAGTTGTGATCAGGTCTTCGTAAATGCGAGACATGCAACTCACACCAGCAGCAGACTTGCACAACTAGATCCAAAATCAACCAAAACTCATCTGAAACTCACCCGATCCCCTCGAGCTCCAATCCAATCATGCACACAAGTGTAATAATATCATATAAACTTGCTCGTTCACTCTAATAATCAAAACAACATCAAATATCATGAATCAATCATCAAAACTCAAGGATTTCAAGTTCAAAACAAAATTTTACAATCTTTCACATTACGCACTGAAACGCCCTTGGGTCATTAGGGACCCCCAACAAAGTATGCGTACAAGTCCAAAAACATCATACAAACCTACCGGAATTGTCCAAGTACCAATCAGATCTTGTTTACCATAAACGTTGTACAAGGTCAACTCATTTGGAAATCGACATATAGATACTTAGATCTATACTAAGAATTTCAAATTATTCAAATTTCTAATTATTAATTAGAATCAAATTCTTAATTTAATTATAATTATTACAAGATATATTTATTTAAATATTAATATAATAACATATACAAATAGTAAATCGAGGTACCCCTTCTATGACAAATTTGAACCTTCCATCTATTTTTGTGTCGTTAGTAGGCCTAGTCTTTCCAGCAATTGCAATAGCTTCTTTATTTCTTCATGTTCAAAAAAATAAAATTGTTTAGATCCATTGGGACCCAAACTCATCTAACATATCTAGAAATCCACACGGACTATGCACAAAAGTCAATAAATCATCAAACTAAGCTATGAGAGGGCTCAGAACATGGAAAAAGGGGCTAGTACTCAAAATGACCTATCCGGTCATCACATATTGGACCCTGGACTGGTAAAAGGTTGTGGGTATCTTCTCCTCATATCAGACTCAGATTCCTACGTAGCCTCCTCGATCGGCTGACTTCTCCATTGCACTTTCACATAAGGAAAACTCTTAGACCTCGACCTTCGAACATGCCAGTCTAGAATAGCCATCGGCTCTTCCTCATAGGTCAAATTCCCATCAAGCTGCATTGTGCTGAAGTCTAAAACATGTGACCTATCTTCATGGTATATCCAGAGCATGGAGACATGAATACCATATGTACCCCTGCTAGGCTAGGAGGCAATACAAGCCAATAAGTAACCTACCAACTCTCTCCAAGATCTCAAACGGGCCAATAAACCTCGGGCTCAAGTGCCCTTTTTCCAAAACCACATCATGCCCTTCATAGGAAAAACTCGAAGAAGAACCTTCTAACACACCATGTAAGCCACATCTCAGGCCTTACGGTCTGCATAACTCTTCTGTCTGGACTGAGCTGTACGAAGTCACTCCTGAATCACCTTAACCTTCTCCAAAGCATCACGAACCAAATCAGTGCCCAATAATCTACACTAACCAGGCTCAAACTAACTAACTGGCAAATGACATTGTCTCATATACAAGGCCTCATATGGATCCATCTAGATGTTTGATAGATAATTATTGTTCTAGGCAAACTCCGCTAGAGGTAGAAATTGGTCCCACTGACCCCTGAGTTCATAGAGCATGCCTGCAAGATGTCTTCTAATATCTTAATAGTGCGCTCGGACACTCCATCCGTCTGAGGATGAAATTCGATACTCAGCTCGACCCGCATGCCCAACTATGCTACACGACTCTCCAAAAATGCAATGTGAACTGTATGCCCTGATCAGATATGATGGAAATGGGCACACCGTGCAGGCGGATAATCTCCCGGATATAAATCTGAGCCAACCGCTCTGAAGAATAGGATGCCATCATCGAAATGAAGTGTGCGGATTTAGTCAACCAGTCCATAATAACACAAACTGCGTCATATTTACTCAAGGTCCATGGTGAGCCTACCATAAAATCCACAGTGATGTGCACCCACTTCCACTCTGGTATCTCAAATCTCTGAGTCAACCCACCCGGTTTCTGATGCTCGTACTTTGCCTCTTAACAATTCTAACAACGAGAGACATAATCAACAATATCTTTCTTTATAATCCACCACCAATAGTGTTGTTTCAAGTCACGGTACATCTTTGTGACACCTAGGTTAATGGAATAGCGTGAACTGTGAGCCTCTTCAAGGATCAGCTCCCTCAGCCCTTCAACATTCGAGACATAAATCCAACCTTGAAGCTGCATAACACCATCATCTCTAATCACAACCTCCTTGGCACCATCCCGCTATACCGTGTTTTTCAAAAGCAACAAGTCAGGATCATCAAGCTAGCGAGCCTTGATGCACTCCAACCACGATTACTATGCCACAACACAAGCAAGAACCTGGCTAGGCTCGGACACATCCAACCTCATGAACTTATTGGACAAAGCCTGAAAATCCATGGGCAGTGGCCTCTCCACTATCGATAAATATGCCAAACCGCTCATGCTCTCTGCCTTCCTACTCAATGCATCGGCCAATACATTGGCCTTACCCGGATGGTATAATATGGTGATATCATAGCCTTTCAACAACTTTAACTATTTTTTCTACCGTAAATTTAGGTCCTTCTGCTTGAACAAGTGCTGGAGACTCCGATGGTCGGTATTGACCTGACATAGAACACCGTATGCATAGTGCCTCCAGA